CCTATGGATGAAGAAACAAAACCCCTGACTGTCCTCCTTTCTCCACCCCCTAAAATCCAATGGTGATCATCAACAGACCTTGAACTAGAGCTGTTGGAACAACCTGGCCTTCCTGGGTATGCAGGGAATCCCAAGTCTCTCCTGGTTAATACCAGTATCGCAATGCCAGCTCTGAAGAGCTTTTTCCCCCTGGGGTTCATCAGGCTGGAGACAGAACTCAGCAGGGCTGGCCCACGCGTGCAACTCCTGCTTATGGGAGAGCAGAGCCGCCTTGCCTGCGTGCAAACTCTTCCTCTCCTGCCCTAACCCACCTTCTTCCCTCTTCCCAACAGGCCTTCATGTTCGAATCGTCCCTCAGCCTGGCCGTCACCAAATGGGGCCTCCAGACCTCCAACCGCCTAGATAAAAACTACTACAAGTGCTGGGAGCCTCTGAAAAGCCATTTCAACCCTAAGTGCAAATAAAGAGAGGTATTTGTTGCTTAAAACACGTGAGTGAAGGCAGGGAAATCCAGGGTACCTCCACGTGGTGGCACGGTCAACTTGGGCAACGCAGCACAGAACGGCATTCCCAGCAGCCACCGAGCCACAACAATGATCAACCCTATGTAACTTGGGAAATGCTGTAAAAAACCACGATTAAAGCTTTCCTGGTGACACGCTGACGTACCGCACGGCTCTCACGATGTGTAGGTGGTGTGAATGCTGTGCCTTGTGCGGATACGAGGTAACAGCTACCCCTGAAAATACGACCCGGTGTGTCTTTCGCAGGGAGAAAGTAGGGATCAGTAAAGCATTTTATGCTGTCTGCAGGGGAAGAGCTTTCCAAGGAGGAAATGGGAGACCCAAGCCTCCTATTGGAGCAGGCCTTTCAACCTGCTGCTCTGCGGAGCGTTGCCAAGGGGAGGCTTGACTCTCAGAAAAGTAGACCACAAGCCAGAAAAGGTTGGAGAATCCAAAGGGTTTCGCTGCTCAGTGAGGGAAAGTTTCCTTTCCAACCCCATGTTCTGGCCATCCGTCAGCATCAAACCATTTGCCAGCACTTGCCAAATTCTGTCCCCAGTTAAGCACTAATTTGCAGGTGCGAAAGGGTTTGTCTGCCCAGTCCAGGCATTTGCTCCTGGGAAGGTACCTGGAAGAAAGCTCAAGTGCAGACAACATCCTGGAGGACCTCAGAAATCATGGGAGTGTGCAAGTGTCACCTCCAGGCAGTGAGCTCCACAGGGTGGAGGCAGAAAGCGAAGCCCGGAGACGGCTGGGAACCAGGAGCACAGCCCGGGCACCCCAAACCTCAGGCCTGCGCTATAGCACGTGCCCACATGAAACGGTTACTAAGCTTGGTGCCACTGGGATCTCTGTTTCTAACTTCCCAAGGGGAGCAATCCTCAGTTTTCCCAAAGAAAAGGAAACGGAGAGCTGCAACACCTTACTTCAGTCAGTTACATCCGTCGTCGGTTTTGGATCCGCACCAGATGTCTGAGGCATCAGCTTTGAGCAAAGTATTACATTCTGAAATCTACAGGGAGATGTTCACTCTGAAACAGCCGGCTCAGAAAAGGACGTTCAGGAGAATCAATTTGCCAGAGAAGCTGATTTAATCAGACTGATCCAGGGATCAATGAGGTCTAAATGTTTCACAGGCAGAGGGGAAAAGCCTGTTTTCTGTTTGGGACCTAAATTATCTCACAGTGACCTGCAGGCTTGAGTTCCTCTTGCTACAGACCCATCGCTGAAGCAGACACGGCTGCTAACACATCAGCCAAGGGTAAAATTCCTCGAAGCACATTCACTCTCCTGTCTTCACCCTGAATTTCTGACGGGAAACTCTGCTTTCCTTCCTCTACACACCCGGCACCACTGCCTCAGACCACCGCCCCCACCTCCAGTAGCGTAGCACGTGCGTTCCTTGCAAGGAAACGGCTCGGAGAGTTCCGCGAATAACGAGAGCGGGAGAAAAGTAGGGCAGCCTTTCCCCAAGCACCAGGCTCCAGTCTGCAGGGACGTAGCATCAGCCCCTCTCATCTGCAAAGGGAAGGGCTGCGGGTGCCGATCCGAGGCTGGCCTAGGAGAGGAGAGGCGCCGCGCTCCCCCACAGCCCACCGGAGCCATTTGCTCAACTGGCCTGAAACAAACACAGCTGCGAGGGAGAATTTACATGTGTGGCAACTCAAGTTCCAATTAACTGCGGAAATGGGTCCTGGGAGATCAAATTAGTTTGTGGCAGCAAGAAGACAGTTAATTTAGCATGCTCAGACAAGCAATTATTTCTTTTTTTCTAAATACCACTTTCTCCGTGCACTGATGCCTTTCTCTCTGCACTGACCCACGGCCGTATTCTGCACTATCACTTCTGACAGTCTTTTAGAAGCTGTTCTGCAGGGAACGACAGGGTTTGCTTTAGTCAAGCTAGAACAAGCCGCAGAGACAGGTGCAAGAGGGCTGCCGAGAGCACACAGGGGATGCAACAGCAGGCCACCGCCTTGCACGGCCCTAGCGCCGAGTCCCCACCGCCTGAACATTTCACCACCCAGAGAGGAAAGGGAAGAGCTACACCAGGAAACGCTTTTTAAAATAGAAACAAACTAAATAAAATAAATCATAGAATCACAGGATGGTTTGGGTTGGCAGGGACCTTAAAGACCATGCAGTTCCAACCCCCCTGCCATGGGCAGGGACACCTTCCACTAGACCAGGTTGCTCCAAGCCTCATCCAGCCTGGCCTTGGACACTTCCAGGGATGGGGCATCCACAGCTTCTCTGGGCAACCTGTCCCAGTGTCTCACCACCCTCTCCGGGAAGAACTTCTTCCTGATAGGAAGCACAGTTTTACTGTGAGCATGACCGAGCACCGGCACAGGTTGCCCAGAGGCTGTGGAGTCTCCCTCCTTGGAGATACTCAAAAGCCACCTGGACACAGTCCTGGGCAGCCTGCTCAAGGCATGAGCAGGGGGTTGGACCAGATGATTCCACAGCTCCCTTGCAGCCTCAGCCATGCTGGGATCCTGTGAGAAAGCTCATCAACTCACTCTGACAGAAGAGGGACTGCTAACGGCCCATACTTTCATCCTAACAATTAGGGAAAGGGGCTTAGTGGAGCTGCTCCTGCTGACTTCACTGTCAGGCTGCTTTCCAGGCAGAGGGAAGTTTTCATCTCTGGCATCAGGCTGAGGTTTTGGCACTGACCCCAACATTCGGGAAGAAACTGCTCCTGCAGAACGTCTGAAGAATGAAGGTTGTTTGGAACATGATGGCACCTACAGGCCATATGAAAATGCCAGGAAAAAAGAAGTCTGAATTCAAAACCTTTTCCTTGCACTCACATTTCAGTACTCTGGCAGTAACAGTTCCAGAGCTCCCTGTACCAGTCGACCCGGGCAGAAAAGGCTTGGGTTGGCTAAGACTCAGCAGGGACGACGCCCCTGCAGGCACAGGGTACAGTTACGCTTTGTGGGTGGTTTTTCAATCACGGCCCATTTGCAGGGGTGCAATGGATTTCTCCTATAAGAGAAGGGAACTGCTGTCAAACACAACCCCCCCATCCCTTTACTTCTTGTCTCCCACTCACAGGAATCACAGAAATAGTGGAAATGCTAGTCACAGACAGCACGGCAATGCTCAGCCCGCTATTTCGAAGTCCGGTACAGTGAGTTTATCCAGAAGTTTATTGCAATAAAGAAAAGGCATGGTTTAGGCTTCTATTTGATTAGGGAAAATAAAAATTAACTCAACTTACTGAAAGCAGGGAGGCAGGGTCCTGGAGTTATTAAAAAATACCACAGAACTTGCTGTTTATCCAATTAGGGCAAACTACAGTGAAGCCGGCACCAAGAAAAAATACACAGTAAGGCCAGCAGTAGGTCTTAAGCAAGCCCAGAGCAGTTTCCTAAACGTTTTAGCCGGCTGCTAATTTTAAACTTCAGCCTGTGCAGCTCTGAGAGCAGCAGCTCCCACAGTTTACAAGGAGCCTCGGCCTATAAACCAAAGGGGCACACCAGCTGAGCTCAGGACACGCTCCCCGCATCCACCCACATTACACATAAAGATCCTGCATTTATCCACCTTCCATAACTGTTAAAGATGCAAGACAACAACTGAGCAATTAAGATTTATTCTTATCAAGGAGAAACACCAGCACACAACACACCTTATTTTACTTAAATCCCATGAACAGCACTGCAGTTTCAGGAACTTAAAATACACTGAACGGTCGCTCGTATTTACCTTCTTTGATAAGCTTCTCTTTATGGTCCTGTGGAAGAAAGAGAACATTCCTCGTTATCTTATTGGAAAAGGAGTTTCAATCAGGCTTGGATGAGAAAAAAGCACTCCTAGTATTTCAGCAGAGTGCAGGACGACAGCACCACCTACGATCTTAGGGGTCTCTTCTACCCTAAATGACTCTAGCAGCACAAACCCCGGTAACAGCCCACTGTGGTTAAAAAGTACAAAGGAACAAGGCATTTCGCTTCACCCACCAGCTACGGAAGATGTGCTCCCACCGACCTCTCTGCACATCTATCCGCTCTCACGGGCCAGCAGGCACCAATTCCCATGGTGTGTTTTTCACCAAACCACTTGTGCCACAGTTCATTTACATATTTAGCTTCTGCCTCCTCCTTCTGTCCGAATAATCCAGAAGACTTGTTTAAAGGCTTGGCAATGTATCTCTTGCTATCGCAGACACACAGCCAACACTCCTCAGAGAAAACAGTTATTACCCTTTATATACTACCAGAAAACAAAGAAAAATCCCCAAACGTCAGTAATGGAACTGGAATATAGGAAAACAAATTGTCCTGGAGACTGCATTACAAACATCATCTTAACTATTCCCAGGCAAGGATGTCTAGACTTCCCTCGCACAGATTTATCCTCAAGCACTCACATGCAAAGCCACACTCAGTGGCTAAGCCCATACAAAACCAAACCAGCATGACAAAATACTGCAGAGGTGCTGAAGTCTCAAAAACATTCATACCATACTACTTTTGTACAAAACACGGAATTGAGTGTTTTACAACAGCCACAGATTCACTAGTAAAACCAGTCACTGTGGCAGTCACCCAGCATTTTCTAATGTATGCAGCTGAGTATTTTCAAGATGATGCTACCATTGCTCAGATTCTGACACCCACATTTCAGGAGTTAGAACAGAGCAAGATAAACTTCCCAAAAACGTAAACAATCCAGCTGCGATCAGGCACTGTAATTGGCAGAAGTCCTCCTCCTCATCTGCTCCATGAGGTTACAGAAACGGCTAAGCAATTCACAGAGACCTTGCTAGGCCTGTCACCCACAAACTCCCTATTTATTCATTTTACAAAGCGCACTTGCTGCATGTCAGCGGTTGGAAATAACAGTCTCTTATGATTAAATTCCACTGTCAGTGCTACAGAGAGCTTTATTACACCACAATATCCTGATCAGGAAACCCTGACTGGCTGTACCCAAGGGCAGAACACGGCTCTTGGCACACCAGGCCTTTATGAGCAGTTATGAGGCTTCTAGATATCCAGCTCAACCAGCCTTCCTTCCCTCATTACTTTAATGGCATTAATCACTCATAGGTGCAAGAGGATGTAACCACAGTTAAGTCTCCGGGCAGATCTACATTTTACAATTGGGTGTTCACTGTCGTTCAGTGTTGTCAAGTGACTTACCCTGTGAGCTTTGAAGACAAAAGACCAGAAGAGGATAGGACCTATTGCAAAAACAGCCCCTAAGAAGGACGTCTTGGGTGTCGGACGGAAAGTAGGGTAGACGTTCAGTGTCCTAGCATAGACCCAGCGGATCAAGGCAGGATCTTCCTGGGTCGGAAAGAAAACCGCAGTGAGGTCCCACGGGCCCTGCAACGCCCACCCGACTCGGCGCAGCCCCGCTGGCCCCTGCTCCGGGGCCGAGAGAGCCCGCG